CATTTCCAAACATTTGGACTACCTATGTTGCAAATGTATTATATTTTCAATTTACACACGGCATCTATTGCACGTCTGTCCGTCCTGGAAGAGGGATCCCTCCTCTGTTGCTCTCCCTGAGGTTTCTCCCATTTTTCCCTTTAAACTGTGGGTTTTCTCTGGAAGTTTTTCCTTGTACGATGTGAGGGTCTAAGGACAGAGGGTGTTGTATTGTCATACTGATATTCTGTACAAACTGTGAAGTCTACTGAGACAAAGGTAACATTTGTGATATTGGGCTATATAAATAAACAATGATTGATTGATTGATTGATTGATTGATTGATTGATTGATTGATTTATTTATTGATTGTGTAAAATTCATATATGGTGGTGAAATGTGTTTAACATTAGCATTAGCCTTGGTAAAACATATTTCATAAATGAATATAATCCAGGGTTTTTATGGATTGTCCAATGGTAATAATCTCGCATTCTCCCATTCATCATTCAAATAAAGTAATAAAGCCCCCCCCCAACCCCCCCCCCATCCACCTGCAGTGCTGGACAGCAGGAACTACCACAACATGGACGTGGCACCTGTCATCAAACAGCTATCCTTTTCTTCATGGTGTCAAGTCTGAGCTGAACTTCAGCAACAGTTATAATAAACAGTGTGACGAAGGTAACTTCGTCACTGTGGACTGCGGGCCTTGCATATATGTGCACATTTTTGTACAATTTATACTATTTATTGATGTAGTGTTTATCGTATTTTATTTTTGAAATGTGTTCCCCTTTCCCCATGTCTGTTGCCATTGATTGTGTGCACCTGGTGCCCTGTGTTGTATCCTCCCCGCTCACCTGTGTTCTGTTGGGTTGATTGGGTTGGGCATTTAGGCTCTGGGGTTTTTCTGTTTGGAGGTAGTGTGTGTGAGATCCTGGAGGCTGTGCTCAGGGAAACAACAGCAGGATTGAGGCTGTGTGTCATTGTGATCATTTAATAAATGCCCACACCGGGTTGTATTTTTGGACGTTCTGCCTTTGCCTCCTTGCTTGGTCGGGCCACTCAATTGTCAGCGTCACAAACAGAACATCTAGAAACATCTGAGGAGAGGAAGAAAGAGTTTATCTGTGCTTCCAAACTCTCATTATTATTACATCCTCCCTCTGCCGGAGCAGGAAGTGAGGTGTGTGTGTGTGTGTGTGTGTGTGTGTGTGTGTGTGTGTGTGTGTGTGTGTGTGTGTGTGTGTGTGTGTGTGTGTGCTCTTGATGTCATGTTTTTACCATTTGTCTCCCATGGAATCAGAGAGAGACTTTAAACTGGGAGCAAACAGGAGTCTCTCTCTCTCTCTCTCTCTCTCTCTCTTGGGGACATCAATCACGGTTGCCGTGACGGCGGCCGGGCTGTAGGTGGTCATGCTGACGGCAGATGGCTCTTTATCGCTGGAGCCCTGGCCTCTCCATGACAACCGCAGAGAGCAGGAAGTGACACATCCCGCCGAGTGGAGAGAGATTCATCTGGACACACAGTAGAGTAACACAGATGAAAGGGTAAGAGGAAGATCGGCTGTCAAGGCATATTTAATTTATTATATTTAACTTGATTTAGTTTTATGTTCATTAGTCGTTGTATAATTACTACTACCGTTGTAAAGATCATTCACCTCTGGATTGTTGTCTCTGTTTAGATTAAATAACGGCTGTATTTTGGATCATATAAAAATCCCTCTGGTGCTTCACAGTCACAGTACAGTCACTGTCTTCAGTGTGCCGTTCTGATGCCTCCAGTTTGGTGTTTTCGCCGCCGCCATCTTTGTGGTTGTCCTCTCTTTCTTGTAGAACAGGAAGTGACACAATATGGTGCTATAAATCTGAAAAAAATCATACCTTATTTAAAAGACCAAAATGTTGCAATAAACTTTCATGAATTACATTTTAATCACAAGGAAGCCCCGCCCCAATCACTCACTGCTGTTTTGACTAATTTACTCTAAATGGGACCCTAAAGTCTAACTGCTAACTGTGGGGTTTCTTTTGGAGTTTTTGCTCGTTGTGTCTGAGGACAGATTTTGACGTATTCTGTAGAAACTGTAAAGAAATAATTAGTCATTTATGATATTGGGCTAAATAAACAAACATTTGATTGATTGGTTGAGGAGTTTTTGGAACACACTGTCGCTCTGTGGTACAGAGAAGAACGATCAGACTTTGATACTGATGGAACCATTAACAGATTTTTGATTGATGATGAAAATATCTAATAGATATATTTGAGTTACAGCATTATTTATTATTGTTTTGTTTTTTAGAACTGTTAACTTATGTATGTTATCTTATCTTTATATAATTATGTTTAGATGCGGACACCCTATCGTGAATAAAGGACGCCAGCCTCCACCTGTTGTCGGGGGGGCTTCAAACGGACAAGAGTATGGTGTGTTTGTGGGTCAGATGGTGGAACCAAATGACAAATCATGTTATTATAGATCTCATTTGGCACGTTGTTTTAAGTATTTTTGGCACATTATTCATCACATTATTTCTGTCTCCTTATCTTTGATGATGCCTGATCATAAAAGTGATATTTGGATTTGGATTCATACATTTTTTTCCCGAAAGTCAACCGGAGGTTATTGATTAATAAATCATAATTTTCCGAGTGGAACCATACAGCATCTCTGCGTGCTTTCTGGGAATGTGTGTCTGACACCATCATGTGGCTTCAGAACGTTTAGAAGCCAGGATTAGCCACTTCTGAACACACAGTACTACGTGCTTTATACAATGTAGAAATGGCATTCCTAAAAGAGTGGGCCTTCTATAGATGAAACTCCAAAAAACACTGGCTCCAACATTTCCCATTGTGCAACTAAAGCATTATGGGACCTTTTCGATAGCCGGACTAGCTTGAGGAGTTCAGTGTAAAATGGGTGTTGTGTATTTTTCAGATGTAGATTTGAGGATGGATGGATAATCATCAACACAATGTACAGTATGTTGAACAATAAGCTGGATAATCTGAGCAGCTCCAGGGAAGAGAGGCCAGCAGAGCGGCCACCACTGAAGGCCCCCCC